CAAGGGTGGTCAAGTTAAGACCTGGCACGAGGGTATGAAAACCCTAACCAGGAAACTGGGTCACATAGGTCCTGTTAGGAACCTCGGGATTATCGTAACCGATGGTTAGAGACACTGAGTGATATGGCTGGGTGTCGTAAACAGTGGCGTTCGTGCATCTCCTCAATTTCTTTGCAACCTTAGACCACTGAACTTCTCCATTTTCTTTTTGACTCCACCTTCAACTTTCCTTTCCTCTCCTATAATTCATCCCAATGGGCAACCAAAACCGGCGCACGAAAGTGCATGGTTAATGGTTGTTCAAACTGAAAACTGAACTTGTATGCTACACTTTTGTGCTAAACAGAAGGCAGGTTTAAAGGTGTATCCAATGGAAAAGGGGACATCACTCGTCACGGACACCAGCGGGTTGATCTGAGTGTCAGTCGGAAAGCTATGCCCAGTTGCACCAATGTGGCAATTCGTTCAGAATTAGTGTGGGTCTCACTAAATGTCCGCTGATCAAGACTGCGTATTATCCATTCTCTCTATCTCAGAGCGCAATAGCCTAGACATAATACTTTACTCGTTTGCGATGAACTGCTCAGTCTTCCTTACTTGTCATCATATTAACCAGAAATTAGATTCACTTACCACATTCTCTTACTTTCACACTCGAAGGTGATCATTCCACCCGGGTTGTGCCAGTCGACGAATCCGGTACCAGTCATCCAGTGATTTTGCTCATTCCATTGATGCTTGGCACGCGAAAGTTGATCGATTCGGCCTATATGCCTATCGTGGCCCGCATCCTCGAGGATCCATGTGCCTTGGGCCTAATCGGCGGTCGACCGAAGCACTCAATCTATGTGTGCGGTTATCAACATAAACAGCTGATCGTTCTAGATCCTCACTTCACTCAGCCCGTGGTAGATGTGGGGTCCGAGCAATTTCCAATCAAGGTGAGTATCCCGTGTACGTTCTACGTGAACTTGATCGTGCAAGAACACACGCACGCACCCGCCAGGATTGTATTGCCCCCCTGTAGGTTCGAGTCTGAATCACACACAACTAACGGGCCATTTTAACTCGTGGAAAAATTTCAGTGTTGTTTGTATGGCAAACTAGTTTTTTCACATTTATCAAATTGGGTTACCAAGGTAGGGTAATGAATCTAACAAACTTCTACCTTATTTATTTGATCTGGTTCAACTCTTTTCATCCTTAGATCTCAGTAACTCGCACAATTATTCATGTTCCATCTAGTTGCGCTACTAGTTTCGATTGTCGTTCCTGCCAGGAAGGCAGTTGACCATAGATTAAATAACAGAATGTTTTTTTGGAAATCGATCGCGGGCATTGTTTAAACGCTTTCCTCGTAACAACACGTTAGTGGTTCTCTATCGGGACCGATTGAGACTGCCCGTGGAGTTCCACAAGGATCCAAACTCGGTTCCTACTTTTTCCTAGCATTTCTAACCAACCTATCAGCTGCTTTTGGAGAAAAGGCATTATTATTTGCTGAGGTCGCGAAAACATGAAGAACAACAAGATCCTAAAGATTATGAACCATGGCTAATTCGCGACTAAAAGGCAGTCGAACATTCACAGAAAAATAACTAAAATAGTCGAACGGTTACCACCTAAAACCTACGGTAAAAGGCAGTATATTCTGGGACACTATTCGTCTGAATACCGAGACATGATCCTCGTATATAAGATACTACAATCTAACCAACCGTGTAGTAGTCGATTGGGTATAGGGGTGTATTGAGCGCCTTGGACGTTTGACCTCTTCCGAAGTGCTTATTAACCGGTGTACTGGACACTGGCCCCCAGTGAATCGCAGTTTTCACACACCGCCCCACTAATTTGCAGGTCAGACTTTGGCTAACCGAAGGCTCCGGTTGTTGATTCCTCAAGAAAATTTACCTGATCAACCTGGCGGAATTCAGCCGACAAACAAATCATGGAACTTTCTCTTTTTTATAAAGCTCATTTTACTATGATTTTCTGGTACAAAGCTTGAATTCAGACGTGTGTGAAAATGCAAAAACGGTCTACCTGGACTTCTCCAAAGAATTCAATCAAAAATGATATTGAATTTAATTTCGGGCAATGTCTGGTCATTATATCCGTATTCCACAAAATGGGCTTTGCATACCTTCTCACACCTCTCGTTTGCTTCGAAACAGCCGAGTCTGTGTGTCGTTGTTTCGGACTACTTGAGCTGTTTAATCAACTGTTCCAGGCTGTTGTCCGTAGTTCTAAGGCACAATTTGGTCTCCGATCCGAGTCCGGTAAACACTGTTCCGATGTTTTCCAACCGTCTACGTTCAATCACACATTCAGTACACTATTCACGCCTGAAGTCGTGGTTGTGACGCGATCGCACAGTTAAGGATATAATGACTACCAATATGGTCGAGGGACTGCATTCCAATACTATTGTGGATGGACCACAATTATTTGGATTGCATTATTGATTTGGGTGTATCAAAAACCATAGCATCCAAAGCACCTATATTGTCCTCTGACATTATTGTCATCCACAATACATCTTAGGCGCCATCATATTGAGTTTAGGATGACAAAAAATATTGATTGATTGGTTGGCATCACTCCTTTTTTTGTTTTCAGCCGCACTGCTTGGATTTCCTTAAACTATGACGTCTGTGCTTCTGCAGTAGATCTATTTCTGACGAAACTCTAATCATTCGTATATATCGAACACTTCATCATCCATAAAACAGGGTTTAACCTGAGATATACTTCATGCACAAGACTGTGTACCGCATTTCTCATTGTCCGGGGACTCGAATTATTTGTGCCAAAAAATCTTGGATACAAGAAAAACAGCCTCTTCTAAACACTTATCATTGGCGGTGGTGGCCCGGTGGTAACGTCAACAATTATCACCCCGGAGGACGAGTGTTCGAATCCCACCACCACCGCCTGACTTTCCCCATTTGTGTATTGTAGGGCAGCCCTTTGATTGGCCGCTTCCCACTTCCTGAAAATTGTATCTTTATGTATTCAATAGAAGGAATTGAAATTAGAAAAAATTAAAAATTTTTTTCGGGGGGAGAGAGGACGTTCGAACACCGATGGTCAGTGTCTGGGATATGGTTCTATTTCGCAAGAACTATCGCTACAATTATAGGACTCGATTCAGTCCTGTCGTTTTAGTTTTCTTTCATTCCACCTTCGTTTGATGGCCTTGGCAACCTATTAGTATCGTGACCTTAAGCAAATCATGAACCTTTTTCTTTGTTTTTATAAAGATTTACTCAAGGGCATGATACCACTAAGTTGCCCCGGCCGTATAGGTGAATTTTCTTGAGGAATTCCCAACCGGAGCCAATTCTAGTCGAACCGCCAACCTGGAGAGCCAGGAGACTGAACTTCGTCCGACCTTCCAGGCATGATTAGATCAGTGAGGTGCACAAGCCATCACACCACGTCACGGTGCAGTCTTGTTATGATGACTGCTGCGCTTTTTCCGTGTTTCCAGTTATATTTTTCCGGTAAACAAAGGTTGTTCGCTAATCTGTCAAGATATTCAAATGTTCCAAAGCTAAATGAAGTATATAAGTCGTAATTAACTTACTATCTCTTTGGCTGTAAATAAAAATTCTAAAACAATTACTTTCAAATATGTCGGAACTTTGTCTGTCCCGATCATTCACTGTTCTGCTTAGCAACAGCGTTGACATGTTCAACCGCTTTCACAGCCTCGCTATTTCCATTGTACCGAAACGCGTTGCACACACACACACACACACACACACTTGTAATGTGTTAAATCGGAATCATATCAATTCGCACTTCTGTCTCCTCGTTATCCTCGTCTTCCCACTCCACATCCCAGTCCTGGCATTGTCCGGTTCCCAAGTTGATGCGCATGTCCCGGTTGGATCCGAGTTGCGCGGTCGGCTTTTATTGTCGTACGCGGGGCGAGCTTAGTGATCTATTGGATCGTCTACCCAGTCTATTCACCCCAGATCAACCGTCTCCTCTATGTTCCACTCTGGTCGAAGTGTTTATTGGTTCCGGTCCGGATTCCTGCCCAGCAAACATCAATACAAACTCGTGAGCCAAGGACCGGATGTGCTTCTCATCAAGTATCCATCTGAGACCTTCGTTAATCGTTTGTCATTTCCGAGCAATTTAGTCTGATTCTTCCGTTTAACTTCTGAGCTCTTGATTGCAAAAATTCTATATTCAACCTCTCATCTGTGATCTCAAAACTTCAGTGGAATTTATCAGTCACGTGCTTTCTTCTTTGCTATACAGTTACTCTTCCTACAGAATGTTTTTATTTATTCATAAGTCACCTGCTGGATGTGATGAATATATTCCTATGTGTATATATCTAATAATATAATTCCCCCCACGCACACACACACACATGCGCTCATTCATTCTCTTTATTACGGGAAGTTTGAACACTAAATTAATTTTCACATACTATGGAAATTGGAAAGCTGCTGACCTGTTCCCAAACTGTGCTGTTGATGATTGCCGACTTGCGTAACCCTACAAAATTATGAAGAAGAAGAATGTAAAAAGCAGTTTAGCTAACGGTTAAAAATACCACAAAAATATACCAATAACTTCAGTTTTTGAGGGATTTTTTCTAGTGTCTCCAACCGTGAATTTTTTCTCTATCCTCGTGCAACGACTAGAAGCGACTAGAGCGATGTATCCAATTGTCAACTTAGACATTAGAGTCTTCGTCCCTCGAACGCAGGTTGTTCGCCTCCCACCTTGGCTCAATTTCCGTTTTGTGTCGGCTTTCGGAAAACACCAATCTCTTTCCGTCTTCAACACGAATAAGACCACATGTACGATGGCATTGTGAACTCGGCTGTAGAAAGAAAAATTAAGGTTACGTCTATGCTACAAATGATGCAATGTAGCCAGGGCTACATGAGGTCGGCTGATGCTAATTGATGCTTCTTCCATCCACACTGCGAGTTGAAGCTTTCATAAAATATTTTGAGCGACTTGGGAGGAGTCGCAGATTATAGAAACTGTCTACATGCCCCAAGAAAGTTGATCACCGTGGTGTATTTCCAGACATGAATTATGTCAGTTCTGTGGTGCTCTCCTAAGGTTCATTGCGAAATTGAACTGAAACAATGAAGCTGAACAGCCTTATCACACTGTACTGTAAATGAATGGACAATGTTATCATATCTTGACAACGTCTGGTGTATCAGAACTCACCGATTTGAGGTTTACGCCATTCTCAAGTATGCCCTGCTCGAGTAGTTGGGTCGGTCTATCCACTGAGTAAAGCAAAGCAGAACGTCGCATGTTTTGATGCTGGTTTTGTGCATTGCGCTATAGATGTATAAGCACAGTAACTGACGGAGTTTTAGGATCAGGAACTTTACAGTTTGGTTAGGCTAGTTTACGTTCGGTCGAACAATTTCACTCAGTTGAGTCACTGAGTGACCATGTTGTTTTCCACTTAAGCATAGCGGGAATTTCGTCCATGCAAGTGCATGATCAAAGCATCACGTGTTATGCGTCCTCTTCACCTTTGGCTCACGGCATTGTGATCTGTGTGGGTCCCAGGCTGATCACGTGGGCGATGTGATCGACGAAAATCTGTTCTCAAAAGGCGTAGACCGTAAGCTTTTCAGACTTACTTTAAAAGGATGCAGTTACATGTTCTCGATAAATTAAAGTTCTGCTGGCGTTTAAGTGCTATGTCATGTTTATCCCGCCTACTAATCTGTTCAACGTCTTCTTATCATATAGTGTAGAGCAGGTCGGTTAGCGGATAACAGAACTAGTTTTTTTTTGCATGGGTACCACAGTCTGTGGGCGCATAAATTGTGGCGACTAAAAAACAGCGTTTGTTGTACCCATTTGCGAGCTTTCTAGTCAGTTGGCGCAAATTAGTCTATTGATTGAGGTCCGATTAGATAAGGTTCTCTGCCTGTGCAACCCCCACAATAGTGGGACCAGTAGTCTCAGCCATCGAATCGCCGGTCAGTCTCAGGGTGCCTGTACTTCTAGACTCTCTTGAACAATAGAGTGACGCGTCGTATGTAGCTCAGATCCATCTGCGATTCTAGTAGTTCGACTGAAGCATTTTTGTACTACTATATCGATTACTTCCAAACCAGTTACAGCATGAACCGCTTAATTTTTCTAAGTGAAAAACCACAGTAACGTCGTCAAAACATACGATNACGATGGATTGAAAAAAAACAATCCTCGGGGAATGAGAACTAATAGACCAATAGGAAACCAACATAGCTTGCGGTTCAAGGGGAGAGGGCAGGTTGAATACGGCTTTGTTCTAGTATCGACGAATCAGTTTGATGATGATACTTTTGGAAAACATTAAATTAACATTTCTTCGTGGGAATCGTTATTAGCGGAAATTGCAACCGCAGTAAGCGGTAATTAAGGCTCATGCGATAGGCTACACGCACTTATTGAGACCGATTGCAAACTAACTACTGACAATCATCAAAGTAGTCTGATGCAATGTGGCTCACAAAAATTTGGAAAGACGTCTCCATATTTTTATCTGCCGCGGTAGGACTCGTTAGGTGTACCAAAATCATCATCAGGTTGAGAACACCGATTGTCATTCTTATTGCAGAGTAAAATATGAATTCAAATAACCGTGGTGAATCTCGTAGTCTAAAAACCAATTCATCAGCTGTGCCTGGACAACGGATGATTGTAAAAAAGGAGGACATATTTAGAGCCGGGGGAATAGCGTTCCACAGCCTAATGGTTCTCAGACTAACATAATCTGCAGTCAGAAATGCCGCAGTGGGATCCCGATAAGGGTGGTGTGCAAATTGGGCGAGTGAACTCAGACCCCGAGACGCAAAGTTCCTGGGAACAGGGAAACCTCGAGGAACGAAAAATTGAATCAGTTTATCTCGAAGCGGCTGCGGTAAGAATCGGTAAACAACGAGATAAACTGATACTGGAAGAAATAGTCGAATTAGATTGAAGCCTACACACAAAAAAGTTGAATTTTAACAGCAGAGAGAAGGGTGGCAGGTATCTCATCAAAGAGGACAAATAGTTCTGGAGGCGTTAAATAGTGCAGTGGTGAACAAAATTCAGTTTGTCTTTTTTGGTTGAGATTAGAGTTCATCTAAGGTCACAGATCTCGCCGATCACAGAATGTGTTACTTTAATGAATCGCTGGTGGGTTGAATGAAGAGTAACACTAAGTAATATTTTCAACAAAAAGAAAGGCTCGATTGGAAGTAAAGTCTCTTTCTGTAGGCCATTAATAAACAGCAGAAAGAACGAGAGCGAAAGTATAAAACTTGAAGAACCTCCGACAGACAGGTGAGGTTCATCCAAAATAGCTCTGTCAATGTGTTGGAGTGATGGAATGTGCGCTGAAAAAAACTGTGGATGAACCATCGGTTTTCCCGAGGGAAATCAAATGTAAGCGAAATTTTGTGTTACTCTCCAGGATGAAGTAAGAAGAAGGCATAAGAAAAATCAAGCGAGAGCAAAGGCTATTCTCCAGGATTATCTTTCGCACAGGAACAGATGGGAGAGATACATATTACACGACCTTCAGTGAACCAGTGGTACATTACCCCTTAAAGTGATCACTCGAATGCCACATCGCTGATTTTTATTGATTTGAGCTGACTATCCGTCGGACTTCATCTTCACGCACAATCCTCAGTTTATCGATTCAAACTCGAAACACGACTCGAGTTTCGCTCTTATCAGAGCTCATCAGTAATCCGTATCCATCGTCCCGTCCGGGATTCGAACGCCGGACCCATCGCATAGCTGTTCCTCCGAAAAGGATCCGGTGACTGCTTAACGAAGTGAGGAGAGCCATGTGAAGCTCCGGTTGTTTGGTTCGGAGGAGACCGGTACAACGGGGCATTGGGAAACCGAAACTGTGCACGTACATATTCGGAGTAACGCCTGTAACTCGACCTCGTATTGTTGAAGAGTTTGAGCTGGTGATACATATGCCCAATCCTTCACAGGTAGATGGATCCCGCGGCAACGCTAAAAATGTACCAAGTCTGAGTAGGCCAAACCATCACTATTTACACGTTTCAATATGCAAGCAGACATTCGTTTGATCTGATAGTGGTCGCCGATAACGCCTGCCCACCTTGCTGTTTCTCCGGTTGGAATGAAATTGAGTGTGGATGCAGACTTGTCACAATAATATAAACGCCAAATATAGCTAAAATAGCACCCGAACGATTCAGAAGAAATTTTTACCTCTCCGAATATGTACACGCCAGTACAATGTGATCTTCACCATGGGAATTCCCACGTTCACGTGATTCGCATATTGATAATGCACATTTCTCAACTGTGCAGTTTTCCATCAGGTTACTCATGAGTAGTCAAAATAGTATTGAATCCAAATAAAACATATCGACTTCAATGCTGCGGTCCAGGCCAATTCAAGAGTGCAATTTATTCATCTAATGTGGACAGAAGTTTTACTGAAAAGAATATTATCATTTTTTTCTTTGGCATACACGCTATTAAAAATGAGCTTAAACATATGGCCTACGGTTACTTAGATACTAATAAATGGGCCAGTGAGAACGCGTAAAAATGCGGAAAATTTCAGCATGTAAATTTACATTAGACTGTCTATAAGTTCATTCGATATTCGTTACCTGGAAACCAACAAACGTGAAAGGTAAGGTACAACGGAGTTTTAAACAGCAATGGTTCGAGTATATGAAGGTGTAAATTTATTGCGGGTGCCGGAAGTTGAAACGGAGCTAGGTAGGGCTGATGTGATGCATCGGACAAAATGGAGTCACACACCTTAAGGTGTTGGCTGACAATGGAATCAACCAGCTCCACATAAGATACAGCTTCTTGTCTAGAGGTGCTTTCCAGAAAGCATTAATTGATATGAAATCCTAAGACAGTAGACCGGGGAACATAATAGGGGAGCAGTGGGTCCAATGACGTAAAACGCACGAGAAAATAAATTTAGAAATGATGCCGAAGGCGTGAAATGTGAAAGGTCAACTTTCTAACTTTAAGAAATGTTTATTCTACGTGATAGGACCATTTGAAGTCAGCAGACAGAAAACATCCAAG